ATTTATTTGTTTTTGTTTTGTTTTGTTTCCAGTTCAACTAAGAATTAAATTAGCATGTTATACAAGGTCAGGAAATAAGATGATCCACATGAATGAATTTTATAGATAAATTCATGTCAGTTTCAAAACATTTAAAGGATGTTAATCATTTGTGACTAGAAATTCCCCCAGTTTCCTTGCCTTCTTAGTTTAAAGCAGGATACTTAATACCGTTGACGCTCTTTTACCCTCTCTAGTATTGATTAAAATCAGAGTATCTTCATGAGCAGCCCATATATTCAGCACTGTCTCAGGTTATGGGCCCCGTTAAACTCCTGACAAATAGAAATATGCCCTAAGGAGGATGGCTAGGCTGGCAAAAGGGTCTACAAATAAAATCAAGTGGGCCTTTAGTAATGCTTGACAATCTGACTCTCCTTCCTTAGTCCAGTCTCTTCTCTTAGGCCAAGAGTTGACAAACCATGGCCCAAAGGCTAAATCTGGCCCACCTCCTATTTTTTATAAACAAAGTGTTATTGGAACACAGCCATATTCATTTATTTATGCGTTGTCTCTGGTTGCTTTTGCACTACAACTACAGAATTGAGTCATTGTCACAGAGACCACATGGCCTGCAAACTCTAAAATATTTACCATATGGTCCTTTACAGAAAAAAGGTTACCAGCTCTTGCAACTTAGATGACTACTTCATACCTTCTTTTCTCATACCTGCAACATCTTCCACCCATATTCCTTACTCTCAGCTAATAACTTGACTTCCTATTTTTCTGGGAAATAGACACCTTTGGTAAAGAACTTCCATATGTTCCTGCCGTCAAATATGTCAACCTACCTGTGTGTGGGCACTTCACCTTCCCTCCTGCTACAGTAGATGAAATACTCATATTCATGTTTCTGTCTAAGGGTAGATCTTATCCTGTCTCTCCTACTCAAGGACATTACTCCTGAAAACCTCCCCTCTCCCTCCTGCATCATCAAATTTTCCTCTGTACTGGATGATTTCTAATAAAGATACGAAAATGCTGGAATAGGGAACAAACAAGCAGAACTCCACTCGACATCGCTCTTCAGCTGGTGCCCCATTTCTTACAGCAAAACTCCTCAAAAGAGTTGTCTCCCATTCTCTGGTAATCAGGCTTTTGTCCCTGCCACTCCAGTGAAAATGTTGTTTTCAAAGTCGCCAATTATTTTTGTCAAATTCAATGCCAGTTATTTTGAATTCATCTTATTTGGCATTTCAGCAGCATCTGATAGTTTTTCACTCCCTCTTCCTTGAAACACTTTCTTCACTACTCTCCAGATATTCCTAGTTTACTCCTTCAGGTACTCCTTACATCACTTCATTGGAAACCTCATTTGGTCGTCTGGTTATAAATACCACCTACACAGCGATGACTCCCAAATTCTTATCTCCAGCATAGACTTCTCCCCTGAACCTGCAGACTGCCAACCCAGCAACTCCATCTAGATGTCTAATAGGCATCATGCTTCCAAACCTTCTCCCCTAGTCTTCCCAATCTAAATAAATGACAACTCCATCCTTCCACTTGCTCAGGCCAAATATTTTGGAGACTACCAAGCAACAAAATCTGCCCACTCTACCTTTGAAATATATCTGGGTTCTAACCACTTCTCAGCATCTCCATCACTACCACTTCATGATCAGCTACTTCCATCCCTTGTCTGGAGACCAGTATAGCTTCGACTACTGTCCTCTCACAACCCCAGCCCCAACAGTATTTTCTCAACCCAGAAGTCAGAACAATCTTGCTAAAATATAAGACGTATTATGCTAATCCTCTATTCAGAACCTTCCAAAGGATTCTCACCTCATTCATTTAAAAAAAAAAAAAATCCAAAGTCGTTTCACAGCCTCTAAGGAAACTGTGTGATCTGGTCCACATCATCTTTCTTCCCAATTCTACCACTCTACCCCTGACCAAGGAGCCCTGGTGGTGCAATGGTTAAGCACTTGGCTGCTAACTGTAAGTCTGGCAGTTCGAACCCACCCAGCAGTTTTACGGGAGAAAGACCTGGTGATCTGCTTCCATAAAGAGTACAACCAGTCAGTACTGAAGACACTCCTGAGGTTCACCCTTCAGCCAAAGATTAAAACCAAACCAAACCCATTGCTGTCGAGTCGATTCTGACTCATAGTGACCCTATAGGACAGAGTAGAACTGCCCCATAGGGTTTTCAAGGAGCGGCTGGTGGATTCGAATTGCTGACCTTTTGGTTAGCGTCTAAGCTCTTAACCATTGAGCCACCAGAGCTCCAGCCAAAGATTAGACAGGCCTATAAAACAAACAATAATATATGTAGCTCAACTATGTATACGAGACTAAATGGGCACACCAGGCCGGGGACAAGGACCAGAAGACAGAAGAGGACAGGAAAGCTGGACGAATGGAAATGGGGAACCCAGGTTTGAGAAGGGGAGGGTTGTTGACATGTTGTGGGGTTGGCAACCAGTGTCACAAAACGGTATGTGTATTAATTGTTAAATGAGAAAATAATTTGCTCTGTAAACCTTCGTCTGAACCACAATTAAAACAAACAAGTCTCTGGGGAAAAAAAAAAAAAGATTACAGCCAAGAAAACCCTGTGGGGCAGTTCTATTCTGTCACATGAGGTCACTGTGAGTCAGAATCAACTGGACAGCAACTCCTGACCAAGTCCACTCTAGTCATGCTGCCCACTTTGCTCTTCCTTGACCTTGTCAGAAACATCCAAGCTGCTCCCTTGCACTTGCTGTTACTCTCCTAGAATACCCTTCCTCTGGATAGCCACGGCATGTCTTCCTCACTCCCTTTAATTCTTTACTCAAATGCCATCTTACTAGAGAATTCTTCCCTGACAATCCTAGTTTAATAGTACCTCCAGTCATTTCTGTGTCTCCTTGTTGTTGTTAGTTGCTGTCGAGTTGATTTTAACTCATGACCACCTTATGTGTTACAGAGTATAACGGCTCCATAGAGTTTTCTTGGCTGTAATCTTAACAGAAGCAGGTCGCCAGGCCTTTTCCACCATGGTTCTGCTGGGGGGTTTTGAACTGCCAACCTTTAGGTTAGCAGTTGAGCACAAACTGTTTGCAACACCTAGAGACTTTTTCTGTCCCCTTAGCCCATTTTGTTTTCCTTCTTATCACATATTACCACCTAATATTTCATATCTACTATTACATAACATATAGCTATGTACATATAGATATAAATATCTACATGTAGACATTACATATTGAATGTAAGCTCATAATATGAAGTATTTGGGTTTTTTTGTTTTTGTTTTTTACTACCATACCCTCAGAACCTGGGGTAGGCCTTGACACATAGTGATTGCTCAAATAAAATTTGTGGAGTGAATGAATGAATAAAATTGTTGAGGGAACTAGGGATATATATCTGGAGAAGGCTGAAAGAAGGAGACAGTTGATGTTGGTATTTATAATATTTGAAAGATTGTTATCTTGAATAAGGAATGAACTTAGTTTCAGTTGCTTTAAAAGGCAAACTAGTACTTATGGGTTGAAGTTAAATGGTATCAGAGTTTTGCCTACCTTGGTAAGAGACTTTCCAACAATTTTGGCTCCTGGTGGCACAGTGGTTAAGAGTTTGGCTGCTAATCGAAAGGTCAGCAGTTCAAATTCACCAGCCACTCCTTGGAAACCCTATAGGGCAGTTCTACTGTGTCCTATAAGGTCGCTATGAGTCAGAATCAACTCGACGACAATGAATTTGAAACAGTGAACAACCTGTATTAAGATTAACTGAGATCCTGTCAGAGGAATGTTAGAAAGGGACTGGAAGATGACTTAATGAGGGATGTTGTAAAGATATATCTCTGACTTTGGTGGAGGAATTACACTTGCTTTCCTCTAGGAATCTGTGATTTGGACTGCTTCAAGGACTTGTTTATTTCCTTCCTCGTTCTTGAAGAAACTGCTAGATAAGGCAATGTCACTGTCCTTGGCAAAAAATAGTCCTTGCTTGACATGAATGGTCCCATTTCTCTGACACCCACTCAAGCTGTTAAGGCCATGAAGCTTTGGTTCACTTGCTGGCCCTTTCCCCATACTTGGTCATGCTGCTATAGTACATTCAAACTCTGCAGGTTGTATTGGGTAAAACAAAGATTCCATGGTTTTGACTGCTCCTGCCAAGTGAAACTTCAGATTACTCTATGAGATCATGGGCTGGTATGTCAGTATGAACCATTTTGCAAAGAATTTGCAGAGAAACAGGTCATAATTTTTGTGTTAGATTGAATATAATTAATCCAAAGGTCTAATCCAAAGTCCTAGATTCCCCTTCCTCCTAATATTATCATCGCTGAGGTGCTTTGGTAATGAAAAATGCGATGCTTTATGAATCGTTTCCAAACTCTGATGAAATTTTAAGCTTTGTTTTCCAATTTTTCATTTTTAATAAAAAGATGCCACTGGATTTCATGCAAAATTGGGGGTGTTTTACTAATGCCCCATAGTAATTTTCCATTTCTGAAAAAAAAAAAATCATTTTGTAGTCTTCTTGTTAACTCTGTATTTGTGTATGGACTGATGTTGTGGCACTACAGAATTAGGAGGTCCTGTCCTGTTATTTTTAGGACTCTGTATCACTTCACCCCTTTTACCAGAATGGTTCCTGGCTAACTTTCCCACGAGTTTTAACCTCTTGCTAGGCTTTGCTTCTGTAACAGGAAACAGGCTGTCAGGAACAAACAAATAGTGGTATATCAGGCACACACTCAGTAGCAAAAGATGCAGTTTGCTCTGCCCTTCACTCCCGTAAAGTAGACTGATACATGATCTCAGCCTGAAGTCTTTTGGCGCGACTTTCCTCAGTTGAAATAATGTAATTTTAGTTTCACAGAGGCAAAGCAGTGTACCAAGCGTTTACAGGCAACGGCAAAGATGAGCTTCCTCTAAGGTGAACTTTGCAGTGGTGTCATGTCCTGGGACTGTGGATTTAAGTATATCTTCGCTTTTTCTCCAACTCTTAAGGCAGGGGTGATGTGCAAGCTTCAAGAAAGAGATGATATCGGACGAATCGAACTGGTCCAGAAGTTGGCAAGAGAAAACTGTCAGCTTTTGCAGACGGACAAAAAAGAGCAGGAGAAATCTGAACACGTAAGCCCTTTTCTTCTTGGAGATGCAGGTTTGAAAGGGTAGAAAATGCTTCTGCCTGGTTTTACGTTCAAGGGAAAGAATATTTTATTTTAAATTCTTCAGGATTTATTTATTTATTTTGTCTTTATTTTTTAAAGCATCCTCCTTTGTGAAAAATGGCAGCTGCTCGTAGCTCTAAGCCAGTGGTTTATGATAGTGGATTTATAAGAGAACTCCTCTCAAAATTAACGTATGTAGAAATATAAGCACACATTTAAGGAGATATGAATGCACCTGTATTTATGAATCCAGTTTGATGGCTTTCAAATGTGGCCTTGGAAGTTTTACCCCATCAGATAGTTTGGAGAATATGAATTTTAAAAAATAATTCCAGTGTATTTAATGTTTAGTATAGGAGTGGATCTGATTGCCAAATGAATGTATCATAAGTTACTAGAAACAGATAAGAACAGAACAGATCATAGACGCTCTCACCAAATGGGAGGGTCAGAAGGGAGTTTTCCCAGTAATTTACGAAAGTTTGTGTTCCAACAAGAGTTATATTGTTTGGATATAGTTAAAACTGGAGGAAAGTGATGTTCTGCCGTTCCTCCTGAAAGCAGTTATTCAGACTGAGCCTTATAACTCAGAAAACTGCCATCACGCTGGGAAGACAATGGGACCACTTTCTTCTGCCACACACTGTTGTCTGTTTATATTTTGTTGTTGTTTGTAAGACTTCACTCTCCGTGCCGAACTTTCCAAGAGTGCTCAAGAAGGGGAAGATCCCTCAGTACTTACAAACATGTATTTCTCTGACTTTAATTTTTCCTTGGAATTTTCTTTTCAGCCCTTTCCAAGGGGAGAAAAATTGCTTCACCTTTTTTTCTTCTTGAAATCCATCAATACAAATGACAGGGTTTTACCAAGCAGGAGAGGAGGTGAGATGTTCAAGGATGGCGTGCTGTTTAGTTTAATAACACAGCACATGTCTAACAGACATGACTGGAAACAATTGGTGTCTCAAGGGAGTGAATAATTATCAGTTTCAAAGCCTTGTGATTGAACTATTTCAGGGCAACTATTGACTTTTAAGTGTGGTTGGAAATCTCAGGAGCCTTCACATGGTGAGTGGTGTGGAAAAGTTTAGGGCTTGTTTGAGTTGTTAAAAGCAGCACACTGAAGGCTCACTATATCAAAGACTAACTCCTAACCTCTGCAGTCGTCTTAGGATATTTGAGTGTCCTAAGTGTGTGGCTTAAATTTCTCAAAGCAATATTTCCTTTGATTCATTTTAATTAGAAGAGCAACAGTGTTCATGTACCCTGTTTCATTGATTGCAAGATGCACAATTCCTCCATATTTTAACATCTCTGAAATCAGTTTGGGTCTTAACAACTGATGATAAGAAAATGTGTCATAGTTTAATTGTGAGCATTTTTCTTTCCTAATGGTCTGTAAAATGAAGGATGTATCTTACAATTGATTGCATATTAGAGTCAATGAACCATTGACAGCTTGAGGTAGGGCAAGATCTTTCAAAATCAAACAGACAGTAGGGTCCCACTTCATCATCATGGCTAGACATCATCAGCCTTAGGCCACAAATATATGCTTATTAAAAAGGTACTTGTGTTGTCTTTATCTTATATTTAGTCTAATCCAGAATGTTATGAATAGTTTCAGCTAATGAGAATATAACCAAAACCAAAAATCAAATCTGTTGCCATCAAGTCGATTCCAACTCATAGCAACCCTATAGGACAGAGTAGAACTGTCCCATATAGGGTTTCCAAGGAGCGGCTGATGGATTCAAACTGCCAGCCTTTTGGTTAGCAGCTGTAGCTCTTAACCAGTACGCCACCAGAGCTACTCCAAATGCTTAACTAAAGAAATGTGAACTTGGCACAGACAATTTAAAGACTTAACATGAATGGTAGTTGGTTTACAACTAGATACTAGTGGTAAAAAATACTTCTTACACCTTTTAGAGTCAATTTATTAGGAGTAAAATTGTTTTATTATTTTATGTCCTACATATTGCTGTCGAGTCGATTCCGACTCATGACGACCATATAGGACAGAGTAGAACTGCCCCGTAGGGTTTCCAAGGCTGTAATCTTTATGTAAAGTTATTTTATGTCTTAATAACCATTCATTGAAGCCCTGAGGGTGCAGTGGTTAAGTGATACGGCTGCTAACCAAAAGGTCGGCAGTTCAAATCCACCAGCCGCTCCTTGGAAACCCTATGGGGCAGTTCTAATCTGTCCTCCAGGGCCGCTATGGGTCCGAATCGACTCAACGGCAACGTTTTTTTTTTAACCATTCAGTGTTTCTTTGGTTTGTACTTTAAGTTCACAGTGGTCACAAGGTTGATGCAGTGTATTTATTTTTCATGTCCATGCTTTCTTTTCAATAGCTGTCATCTGCTCTTGCTCATGGGAACTCAGCTATAACACACATGACATGTACAGAGGAAACTTTAGTTTACTTAATGTAAACATAGGTCTGCAATTTCCTCCTCTTGTTACAGCGATAATGACCAAACCCTGGAGTTACATAGAGAGTTCCTTTCTTTTGTGATTTTAAAATGCTTCATCTACCTCATCTCCTTTTCCTGCGCCAAAGCTAGTTAAGTAGACAGTGGTAAGAATTTGAGTTAGAATCCAAGTTGCCTGTTGAATTATTCTTTTCACTAAACTACATTGCTTCTCCAGTTCTAGAATGCCACATCCCTTTTTACATGTGTCAAAATGAGAAAGTTACCTTGAGGCTCTGCTGCATAGAGAAACACGTGAATTTGTTAGAATAAAGCCTTCGTTGTTGGTACATCTTGTTACAAATTGAAGGTTATTAGAGTTTTCTTAGTAGGCATTTCTAATATTTTCTTAAACTGGTAAATGCCATAATTATAAATGTGTGCAATTAGAGAAACACCTCACTGGGTGCTTTTGCCAAGGTGTTTCTGAAACGAGAAAGTTAACTCCAATTATCACAAGTTTCTCAGGAAGCACTCAGTTTTTCTATTTTCTATTAACTAGCTATAGGCAAAATCAGCCAGCATTCATTCCTAAGAGTTCAAAATTATTATATGAAGACTTTAAGAAGGGGACAAAGATCAGCTATTTCATCTAAACATTATAATAGTGGAATGAACATTTGGTCATTAATTCGTTAAGGAAATTATCTATTATGTCAGCATTGCATTTGCTTAGTCTTAATTCTATGATTGGATTAATAAGGGAAAGGGTGAGTGTAACTAACTGGGGACTTTTGAAGGATGAGTAACGGTCATAAAGAAGGGCAGAGCAGGGGGAAACATTTTAGGCAGAAGGACCAGCAGGAAGGTACATGACTAGAGGATGGAGTGATTCATGGAGAGTGCAGGGGCTGGGCTGGAAGGAAGCTAGAATTCACTTGTGAAAGACCCACCCAGTAAGCCTCCCTAAGGAGTTTAGACTTGCCTTTCCAGCAAGGAAAGCCATCAAAGAAGGGAAGTGGCATGATCAGATGTAGTCTTCATAAGATCTCTCTGGCATTGGGTAAGAGGAAAAAATGAGTGGGAAAGAGAAACGTGTTGGAAAGCTGTTGAAAAGAAAAGAGAAAGCAATTGTAGTAATAAGCCAGGTGAGGCATGTAACCCTGAACCAGGGTGGTAACTGTGGAAATGGAGAAGGAGATAGATGTTGAGAGTCATTTAGAAGGTAAAACTGGTAAATTTGAATGACTGGTGATGGGGGATATGTGAGCTCTGTTATATTAAGCAAGTTTTGAATTTTTTATTAAAGATTCTTTGATATGATAATAGATATACGAATGTTCTCTTTATCACCAAATGGTTGCTCACTTTTGCCAAAAACCTGCATAAATCATTTATCTTACTTGTTTTCCTTCTTCTTCTGCAGTATGTTTCAGGTGCCCAAGATATGTGCTAGGGCACACAGTGTTATTCTCATTAATGAATTATTACATGCGGATTCTGACTAATACTATGGAGACTATATAAACTTTTCTTTCAGACCAGATCTTTTGAAAACACCTTAAGCAGAGAATCTCTAGTAGCCCCAGAATGGACTGATTTATTTGGGCCAAAACTTTGGCATTTGCTGCAGTATTATGTTTGCCTTCTTCATAATTAACTGTGATTTTAGGAATGCTCTCCAGACCTCTGCAGACTGAGTTGATGTTACTATGTTGTTATTCTAGAATATTTCCCATCATTCATTCATTCAGTTAATCTTTATTAAAGGTGAAGTTTTAAGGGATCCGGAATAACTATAGGTGGCTCCTACCTTCAAGAAGATACAGTCCAGTTGTGGAGAAGAGACACTGACACAAATAACTGAGATACAAGAAAGCAGTGTTGAGAATCCCAAGAGAGATATAGAGGAGTTAAAAGAAGAACTCGGACTTGGAGAAACAGGATTATCTCTTATGCTGGAGGTGGAATTTGATCTGGACGTTAAATTAGGGTCTGGGTTGGATTTAAACAACTCAAAATAGAAAGGATTCTTAGTGGGAAGAGTAACACTGGAAAATGCACAAAGATATCAAAATACAGGATGGTTTTGGAAATCCCAAACCATTCCATCTTATCAGAGTACCAGGAATGGGGATGGGGAGGAGATGATGACAGGGAGGCAGGAGGAGGAGGGAAGGTTTCATGAGAAATAAGGTTGGGGCCAGACTGTGAAGGATTTTAGAATAAAGTAAAAGAAGTTTTATGTCATTCTAGAACTAATGAGGAGCCATTGGCTATTTTGTTTTGTTGGTTTTCATCAAAAAGGAGGATGGGGGGCCTATGTGAGGTATGGTATTATCTCAGTTTGATGGATGAGAAAGCTGAGGCAGATGAATGATTAAGTGGAGCTGGAGTAAGAGCAAACCCAAGTGTGATTGTCCTGGAGCACATCTTCCTTAGCAGCCATCATGGGAATGGGGACTGAGTTGAGGATGGGAAGCCAAGATGGCAGGAATGGTGAGAGTCCTGAGAAGGTGAGAACAGATTAGGAGGGCAGCCT